TGGATGGATGGATGGATGGATGGATGGATGGATGGATGGGAAGCCCTGGCAGATGCTCAATGCTTCAGGCTTTCCTTTAGAAGTGTAGAAAGGAAAGAAGGGGAAGTGGTCTTGCAGAAGAAGAAAAAGAACAAGTGAAATTTGTAACCACAGACCCACAACTGAAGGCCTGGACCACATGGACTCAAAATTTCTAGGGGAGGAGCAAAGCGAATATATGGTAGCTGGGTGACCTCAGGTCAAAAAAATTTTACACACACACAACATAAATATGCATGTGGAAATATACTATCCTCTGACACCTGGGCTAAATTAGAATTTGGTAGGTTGTTTCTTACCTCAGGTACAATAACCAATCTGCAGTTGGCCTTGGGGTCACCACACACACTGCCTCTTGGGTCTTCTTTCTCACTGTTCCCTCCACTCAGATTCCTCGGCTGATTCCTCATTTTCCCAACCTCTGAACACTGGACCATCCCAGATTGGTTCTCAAGCCTCTATTCAGACACACCTTATAGATGACTTCAACCTGCTTCATGGCTGCAAATGCCAATTACACACCAACAACCTACAAATATATATCTTAGCTTTGACCTCTGTTCTGAACTCCAGATAGGTATACACCATTTAACTGATGAATACTACTTGTATATCCAAATAGGCATCTCACCTTTAAGAAGGGACCAGGCACATGACCCAATCAGAGGCAATGAGAAATTATTAGACTTGCTAGAGCAACTAGGCCAAAGGTACTCTTTGTTGAACTTGAAGCTGGATGGATATACACCAGGAGCTAATGTGACCCACTATAGTATGTGGAGGAAACAAGAGCTGAGATGAAGAAAGGAGAGAGGCCAAGTATTGAAGGCATTATTTGAGATCCTAAACCTGGCCATACTTGAAACTAGCATATTACTACACTTCTCAATTATGTGAGCCAATAAACTCCTTTTTTAAAATATATTGATTTCAGAGAGAGTAAGGGAGAGAAAGAGAGAGGTACAAACATCAGTGATTGATCAGCTGCCTCCTGCACACCCCCTGCTGGGAATCAAGCCCAGAACCAGGGCATGTGCCCTAAGAATTGAACCTCAGTCTCCTGGATCGTAGGTTGATGCTCAACCACTGAGCCATGCCGGCTGGGCAATAAATTCCCTTTTTTCACTTCAGCCACATTTTGTTAGCTTTTCCACCACTTGCAACCAAAAAGTACAGATGAGAGACATAATTCCATCTCTTTTATGTCTGCTTCATCCACCAACAGGGATTCAACTGCCTAAAGTGTGAACCAGGAGAAAGACGACACCTACTAAGAAGGGCTCCTGGTGACTAATGGGCCTCAAATTTAAAACAAAAAAACAGAGCCTGGCTAGAAGGCACAGTTGGTTGGAACATCATCCATACACCAAGGGGTTGCAGGTTCAATTCCTGGTCAGGGCACATATCTAGGCTGCAGGTTCGATTCCTGGTTGGGGTGCATAGGGGAAGCAACCTATCCATGTTTCTCTCTCTCCCCGCTTTCTCTCTAAAAATTTAAAAATATATATATCCTTGGGTGAAGATTAAAAACAGAGCCTAGCAACCATTTCTACAAAGGGGACTCTCACACAAACTGCACCTCAGGGAGAAGCCTGCACTGAGCTACCTGCCTGCCCTGTGCCACAGCCATCTGAGCCGCCCTTATAGAGGAGCTCGGGGAATCCTGTTTCAACCAATAGGACTGAGGCTTTCCCCGTCCAATCAGAGCTGCGCAGCTCCAACCAACCAGAGCGGCTCTATT